TACAAAAATTAGCCGGGCATGGTGGTGGCACGCCTGTAATCCCAGCTACTTGGGAGGCTAAGGCTGGAGAATTGCTTGAACCCAGGAGGTGGAGGTGGCAGGGAAAGAAGATCGTGCTGTTGTACTCCATCCTGGGCAACAAGAGTGAAACTATGTTCAAAAAAAAAGACAAATGCCTACTTCATGGTAGGAAAAGGAACCTCCCTCACCTGACAGTTATGTAACAAGACCCTATAGCAAACATATCTCTTGATGAAACACACAGGTGTCCATTAACACCATTTGTGTGTAATGTACTGGGCTAGGCAGGGCGAGGTGGCTCATGCCTTTCATTACAGCACCATTGGGAGGCTGAGGTAGAAGGATCGCTTGAGACTAGAAGTTCAAGCCCAGGCTGGGCAACACGGTGAGACCTCATCTCTACACAAATAGAAAAATAAATAACCCTAGCTACTCGAGAGACTGAGGCAGGAGAAATGCTTGAACCTGGGAGGCGGAGGTTGCAGTGAGCAGAGATTGTGCCATTGCACTCCAGCCTGGGCAGCAGAGCCAGACTCCATCTTAAGGGGGAAAAAGGCTTAGCAAGGATTCTGGATACACAATATACAAAAATCAATTGTTTCTATATTGCCAAAAAAAAAAAAAAAACAAACAAAAAAACACTGTCAGTACCGGTCTTGCAGATACACTGCTCCCTGCCTCCCCTGGGCTTGTTCCTGGAGTAAAAAACTGCCAGGCCCTAAGCGGCTACCAGAAGTATCTGGTCCGATACCTTCAGGTACTAGGGAGGCCTGCAGATCCTACTGTATGCCCACAAGGAGGAGGTCCTTCTCACACCTTTCACAGGCCTAGCCTGGGGCTCTGGTTCTTTCCTCTTTCCCTAGAGAGCTTTCTGGACCTTAAGGATGGCAACTTAGCAGCCCTTGCACAGGGAGAGCTTTCTGGACAGGTTCAACTTCTTGCTGCCGGCTCTCCTGGCTTCCTGTTCCTCACCCTCGCCAGTTTCAAGTTCCTACTGGCCTGGGGAGTGACTGTCTCCTCTGAACCATGTTCAGGATGTGTCTCATTGCCCACAGGGCCAAAAGTGTACTGCCAGGAGCATGGTAAGCAAACTATCTGCACTAGATGGTAGGCAGCCAGCATGTGAGTCTTTTTCATTCCCGGGGACAGCTAGGCAGGTTCAGAGGAGAGCAGAGGCAAAGGGAGAGCTTGGCCACACTGCCAAGTCCATTCCCTCCTGTGGTTTTGCTGGCGCTGCTCACCTGTGGCCGTGGCTGGCACACCTATGTACTCCCAGCGCTTACTCCCACTCAGAGGGCAAATTCTGTATCTGGGTGGCCAGGGTCAAAGGGGGGCACTGCAGTGCAAGGTCTCCAGGGCAATCTTGGTCCATCCCACTCAGAGCAGCACCCCCAGCACCTCTGAGAGGCTGGCCAAGCTGGGCAGACAGCTTCTCGGTAAACTGTGCCTCTCAGACTCGACCCTGCTCTCTCAGGGACTCCAGGCTTGGGCTTGTGGCTCTGTCCTAAGAATAGCCTTTCACATGCTTGCTGGATTTAGGACAGGCAAACTTCATGAACACACACCGATGCGAAATATACTCAACGCAAAGCAGATAAGAACCCCACAGGTTGGCAAAAAGGGGGAAAACAGACTCTAATTCCAAAGAGCAAATGAATGTGTGAAAGATATTTGCTTCAAATTAATGGTTTTATTTCCATCTTTAACACTAGCAGAGGAGTCCAAAACAGACTGATATCCATGGATATAGTTTAAATGTAACAAAGAAAAAGCTGAACTATGTACATTGAAAAAAGGAGAGATTTTTGCACACCAACCTTTTCCTAGTTTGCAGTTTCTGAATAGTAGAAACCAAACACATTAAAAAAAAATTTTTTTTTTTTTACCGATTTAATTTAGGACAAAGTAATACAACTTTTATAATCAACCACTTGAGTTATCTTTAAGGATAAAACTTAAAGAAATTTAAAAATGGGTGTTACCATATTTTATTATTGGACTGGCTCCAAGGTTGCCTTGCTCCAAGTCTGGGCATCATGACGTTGCCATGACGCCCAGAAGAAAGTTAATGGCAATGATGTCCAGTCAGAGGGCAGACATGCTACACATCACGACAATGAGAGGTGAGCCTCCTGCCCTCTTCAACTCCAGGTAGAAAATTATGATTTTCATTCAAACTAACTGAGCCCAACAGTTAAAAAGTCAGAATGAAGAATAAAACAATGTTCCTTTCACATAGAGGAGGGACACTCCTTCAGCCCCATTTAAAGTGAGCTCTGTGCTGAGTTCCTGCTCCTTCAGAAGGGTAAACTGAAGGTCAGTTATTGCTAACAAAGCCAGAAGTGGCCCCTTTCCCACTCTTAAGCTGCTTCACATGAAAAGGCCGTTGGTTTGGCTTGAAGCCCTCTGAGGAAGGAGGAGTGAGGAAGAGGAGGCAGGCTGGCACTCTAAGGCCTCTCTCATTAGCCACCCCCAGGCCCTGTGCTGTCAGGGGCACTTTGCTGCCTCTTGAGAGAACCCGAGGCTCCCACACGCCTGTGGAGTGAAGGAGAGGTTGTCATCTGGGTTCCTGTGCGGGGATAAGCCACTGTGTTTACCAATCAAAACCTATGTAGTCAAAAGCCCAAAGGATCCAAGCCCAACTGTCCAGAGTAGTTTCTGAAATAAATGCCATGGGGTTGGGAAGGATGAGAAAGCCAAGTCAGGTGGGCCAGGTTCTCTGAAACATGGGGCAACAGTGACTTGGGCAAAAGCCTGGAACTGAGTGGCTGATAAGGCCACAATTACTGCCACCACCTCTCAGCATCTATGCGGGGGCAGACATTAGGCAGTGGGAACTGAGGATCTGAGGACTGGAGGGTGCGTGGTGAACACAGGATGGATTTTATCAGAAAGGAGAGGACACCCACACAAGTGCCTGCCCTATTTGACCTGCATGTCCTGTGCCAGGTGAAGGACGCTGGAACGTGGGTAAGGTTCCTGAGAACAGCTGGTGGGCAGAAAGGGACTGGGATGGGCACTGCTCCGCAAGCAACATTAGGCCTCTGGGGGGGGGATGCTAATAGTGCTACATCTTGTGGACTGCTGAAAAGTAGGTAAAGAATGGCCTTTATTGCACTTTTTCCTTCTTAGAAAACGGGGGATTGCCCTGCAGAATTTCTCTTTTTGCAGAAATCACTGCAGATCAATAAGATGCAGGCAGAATCACGGCGACCTCAAGGGAAGAAGTCCAGTGACTGGTCTTTTCCGGGGCCACTCTTGCACCTGGGATCCTCGAGCTGGGTGAACCAGGTCTGGCTTGGTCAATGTGTAGGCAGGCAGACTGGTCAACCGGCAGACACTTGGGACAAGAGGTGGGGTACCCAGGGAGCTGGGGCAAACTTTCCAAACAGGGAAAATTTCTTGGCAACTGTGCACGTTCTCCAACCAGACTAGAACCACAATTCCCAATTACAATGTGCCTGACTCCTCCCTTTCTCCCACCCTAGAACCGACCACCCCAGAGGAACACAGAAGACCTTGGAGGGTCCTGGGTCCAGCGCCACAGCATTAGACTGGAGATAACAAAAGGAAGGGGTTGGAAACAAAAGAGCAGTTTACATATTGGACGTTGGTTTCGACACAGTCTTTCTGAGCTCAGGAAAATGGAGGCAGATAGATACCACTGGAAAACCTG